TTTTCAGGTGTAAACCATAGGGGAATCAATACTTTAAAGTGGTAGTTGATTCCAACCCAGCACCCAGTCTGGCGGTGAGGCTGATTTTCACTGTATTACTGAGTGGGTGCAGGACAGACCACCCCAAAGCACAACTAGAACTGCCAAGTGTCACACAGTTCAGATTAAAATAACAAAACGTATCATACAGAAGTTGCTGTTGTGATGGCTGTCATCTTGGCCAGCACACCAAGCACTGAACTTGGGTTCTTTAGAGCTTAAAAGCAGCATAAGCTGCTACAGCGTGAGCTGAAGAGGCACCGTCTCTAGCCAGAGGCTGTAACAGACAAACATACTTTGTAGATCAGGCACTGAGGGAGGATCTGTAAGCTACTCACTGGTGAGATACCCTATTACAGAAGAAATGGAAACCTTGCTGAATTACTCTCTGATTTGAAAGGTGTTGAGCACTCAATTACAATTGAAGAGCTCAACAACTCTAGCAGCACAGATGTGCCTAATGTTAGGAAAACACACTGAAAGTTTCGAATATCAAAGATCAAAAATATACCTCTGAACATTTTTTTTTTAATGTCAGAATTTTACCAGTGATGACCCACTCCAGTTTTGATCTCTGGATAGAGAAATAGCTTTGGGGCAGGTAACAAAGTGGACGAAATGGGAATAGGAGTCAGGAATTCTTTTACATCATACCCCCTCCTTGTCCCTTTGCTTTAGAACTTGGAAACACTCGTGCCTATTACTAGCAAGAAGCAGAGAATGTCAAGCCATGAACTGAAGTCCTGATCTTGCAAAGATTTGCACAAGTAACTTTATGTATGAGTTGCTCCACTGAGCTCATTGTGTCTGTTCCTGGGTCTAAGTCTTTTCAGAATGGGGTCTTAGTCAATAAATATATATCAAACTAAGAAGGAAATGCCCACGTACCAATTTTAAATTTAAAATAGCTGTCTTGAAGATATTCTCTGTGACACTTCTTCAGTGACTGATAATGACAGGAGATATAATAGACTAAGCCAAAAGGAAAACAGCAATGTCCCTCAGGGTATGTCTACACTACAAAGTTAGTTCGAACTAACTTTCATAGGCGCTACACTAGCGCACCGTTAGTTCGAACTTAATTCGAACTAACGGAGCGCTTAGTTCGAACTAGGTAATACTCATTCCACGAGGATTAAGCCTAGTTCGAATTTACTAGTTCGAATTAAGGGCTGTGTAGACCCTTAATTCGAACTAGTGGGAGGCTAGCCCTCCCCAGGTTTCCCTGGTGGCCACTCTGGCCAACACCAGGGAAACTCGTCTGCCCCCCTTCCCGGCCCCTCCCGGCCCCGGACCCCTTAAAGGGGCACGGGCTGGCTACGGTGCCCGTGCCAGGTGCAAGCCTG